CCAGATCTCGCCTCGCTCTGTCGTCCCTGCGAGTTGTGCACCGAGCTGGGCAAGTTCTCCTGACGATTCTCACCCTCCTTCGGCAGATCAGGGCCCTTTCCTCCCTGTGTGTCATTAACTCCTCCATTTGCACGAAATCCAGGCTTCACAGGCGGCTCTTCCCGACCTTCCATAGTCCTAGCGAGATACCTCTGTCCCGACCGCAACTGATGGATGTGTAGATCCGGATCCGTATCGCTCATGCCTCACGGCCCTGACGCCGTGGCTAACACCGGGCCTCTGCGCCCGTACGCTTCTCTACCGCTACCTTTTTGCTTGTTTGCAACAAGACTGAATGCTCTCCCTCGCAAGGGCTCCGTCAGTTTGCCTGAGCTTCTCTTTAACTGCTTGCTTCCGTGGTTGGGAAAACGAATTGCAGTATTACGAGAAACAAACAAGCAAAAAGCAAGAAACCTGAGTGCTATCCCTGACTACATTCCTTCCTGTGCCTGCCTAGGATCCTTCTTCCACACGCTAGCTCTTGGTGCCAGATGAGAGTCAGCCGAGCTGCTCTTGATGGCTCCGTGGTGCTAGCTGGGTTCCACTAGGCCCACTAGGCATGCACTGCCTTCCAGCTGGAATCGAATTCCTTGCCTAGAATCGAATTCCCAGCTGGAACTGCACTTCCAACTGGAAATCGAATTCACAGCTGGAATTGAATTCGCCCTTCAGCACCAACCTCCTCGGTTCTCCCAGCACTCGGCTCTATAAAGTGTATCTACAGTGCACACCAAGCACACAAACGAAATTAGAGTACAAAGCAAGAAATGCAAAATTACCTTGCTGCTGTGTAATTCACACCTTGCCGTCAGCCAGGTGTTAATAACGCGACAGCAGGAGGAACAGCAGCCGCAGCAGCAGCAGGGGCTTCAACAGCACCAGCAGCAGCAGCGGCAGAGAGCGACTGCCCGCTCCTCACCCTTCCTCCTCCCCCGCATGCACACCCGCTCCCTTGATCCCATCCTTGGCACACCGCCTTCTCCCTCCCTCCACCTGCTAGAGGACTTCCATGAGGAACTCACTATGGTCCAGCGCCACACTCCCTCTCTCACCCCCCTCTACCCTGGCTTCCTCGACGCTCTTAACCTTGCAGCAGTCTCCGCTCCCACCATCTTCGTCCCCTCCACCTTCCAGGAAGCTATCACCTGCCCAAATGCCGACAAATGGATAGCCACCATCTTCCTGGAATGTGAGGCCTTCATCCGCAACGACTCTTTCATCGACGTACCCCTCCCTCCTGACGCCAACCTGGTTGAGGGCAAGTGGATCTTCCGGGTAAAGCAGCTGCCGGGAGAAGAACCAGTCTACAAGGCCCGCTATGTCGCCAAGGGCTTTACACAGACTTGGGCTGAAGACTACTGGTTCACATTCGCCCCTACCGTTAAGCCACCTACCCTTCGCGCCCTTCTCGACGTTGGTGCGCGTGACAACATGGAGATTGACTCCATGGACGTCTCCAACGCATTCTTGCAAGGCGAGCTGCACGAGCGTATTTTCCTACGCCGACCTCCCGGGTTTCACGCTGCTTTCCCCGACAATACCGTCTGGCAACTACGTCGACCGGTCTACGGTCTGAAGCAGGCACCACGAGAGTGGCACGCAAAGCTGTATGCCACTCTCCGGTCCCTCGGTTTCTCTGCCTTCCACTCCGATGCCAGCCTCTTCATCCGCTCTTCCCCTCGTCGCTTCTTCATCTCGGTCTACGTTGACGACATGATCCTGCTTGCTGATTCCAGGACCGACATGGACCAGGTGAAGCAGTCCCTTCAGGAACGTCTCAAGTGCAAGGACCTTGGTCCGCTGCAGAACTACCTCGGCATGACCATCACCCGCGACCGATCCGCCTTCACCATCACCCTCTCCCAGTCCCACTACATCGGCCAGGTGCTGGAGAAGTTCGAGATGGCGCAGGCCAAACCGGTCTCCACCCCCCTCCCCTTCGGTCACCAGCTAGCGCCACCCACCTCCCCCTCCGCCTCCTCCCGTCCCTATGCCGAACTCGTCGGGTCGCTGATGTACGCGATGATGTGCACTCGCCCCGACCTTGCCTACCCCATCAGCGTCCTCGCTCGGTTCGTCGGCTCCGGCCGCCACACTGAGGAACACTGGACTGCCGCCAAACGGGTTCTCCGTTACCTTCGAGGCACCAAGGATCACGCCCTCACACTGGGTGGTTCCTCCCCTCCCCTTCTCTCTGGCTTCAGTGACTCCTCCTGGGCCGACTCCCAGCCAGACCGCCGCTCCTCGCAAGGCTATGGCTTCACGCTTGGCAGCGGACTTATCAGCTGGCATTCTACTCGCTCCTCTGCCGTTGCCCTCTCCTCCTGCGAAGCCGAACTCTATGCTGGCACCATGGCTGCACAAGAGTCCCGTTGACTCTGCTTTCTTCTAGCCGAGCTTGGTGCCCCTCAGCGCTGTCCCACACTCTGGTGTGACAATGCCAGCACCATCCATCTCACCCAGGATCCTGTCTTTCACGGCCGCTCCAAGCACATTGAGCTCCGCTACTTCTTCATCCTTGACCTCGTTCAGCAAGGCCTCATTGCCGTTCGCAAGATCGTTGCTGAAGCCAAATTGGCTGATATCTTTACCAAAGCCCTTCTCCGCCCTGCGCACTCTGCTCTTCTCCGTCTCATCGGCCTTGCCCCTCCCGGCGCGCCTTGATTCAGAGTTGCTCCTCTCAAGCCTTTCCACATATCTGCAGGTTAAGGGGTTGTGTTAGAATATCTCTCCTCTTGTAACCTGCATATATGCTATAGAATAGGCTAGAGATAAGCACCCAAACTTAGTTTAGGTGTACAAACAGGGATAACCTAGTTTGTAGGTTGGAACCCAACCTTGGTCCAATTATTGGACCCCAAAAGGTTGGGTTGGGTAGAATTATTGGCTCCTTCCAATAATGTTGGCCCAAACCCAACTTGGCCAACATTATTGGACCCCACCAATAATCACCCAATTCAACTTATTGGTTGGGGTCCAATAATGCCAACCTAGGCTAGTATCCAACCCCCAACTATGTATACCCCCATCATTCTCAATCAAATCATCAACTTCTATTCTAACTCTTATTTCCCACAGCTTTATCCCTTTCTCCCTCCTCTTCCTCCTCCTCTTTCTCATCTTCCTCTTCCTCCTCGCCTTCCTCTCCTCCCCCTTCCTCCACTTCCTCTTCCACTTGCAGGGCGGTGCTCCCCACAACAGGCACGCGGCTAAAGTCGCAATTAAAGAGCATGATGTTGGTCATGGCATCTGCTCCTTCTCTCTCAGCCACAGCAGCGTCATATGCACGCGCTGCCGCCTCCTCCGTGGGAAACTCTCCAAAGTACATCCTTTGTTGCCTTTTCCAATGGGCGGCTACCCATGTCTGTCTTGACTTGTTCCAAGTCACGCCTATGAACCGTGACGCCTGGCGACCCATCCTGAGTAGGAGGTTTTCTTTGACAATGGAGTCCCAGAACTATAGCTCCGACATGCTGTCGAGCTCCGTCTTTTGCTCATGCGATAAGTTAAAGTTAAGAGGAGCGTTGGAACCTTTGAGTTTGTACGCCGCCCTGGAGACACGGAGAAAAAAGCGATTCGCACACATTTGAGGCTTGGAACAAGTAACCATATGGTGGTGTGGTTGATGCAAGTGTGATATGACAAAAGCGCACGCATGCACGCACACACGCTTACCTGCCGTAGAGTCTGGCAGCTTCCTCCGCAGTGCTCCTGGTCCCCAAATATCTTTGGCCTCCATTATTTATTTTGGCGTTCCATCGGAAATAATTCTTTGTCACTCCGACAAACTTTGACTCAGTCGCCATTGCGGTGACCTCTAGATGCTCGAACAGCGTCACAAAGAGAGCAAAGAGAGCTTGAAGAGAGCTTCTATCTTCTAAACCTCAACACACGCCCTAGCAAAAACTCACTCCAATAAAATCTGCGAGCTCCACTCTCAATAGCGATCTGCGACCTCGCGCGATCTTCGCGTATTTTAGCGAGCATGGCGAGAACGAGGGCCAGCCAACATGGCGAGAGCGAAACGCGACAGCCATCATGGCGAGAGCGGAGCGCGGTAGCTTGCATGTCGAGAGCGGAGCGCGCCATTGCAGAGGAGGCGACAGTATGCGAGTGTGACGTGAGCAGAAAGACATCTTGGCGCAGCGAGAGGGTCACAGACAGCTTGGCGCTACGCTGAGAGGCGGTCCATGCAAGCTCTATGTCGGGAACCTGGCGAGCTTTGCATGTGCTAACATGCCCCTGAGGGCGTGGAACCGTTGCAGGAAAAAATGTAACTGAACCCGGATTGCTTTTCCGGCGAGCTTCGCCACCGGCTGACCGGGTTTCTGCGAGCAGGTTATCAGATCGGATTGCGGAAATTCGGTCGCAACCGCAACCCGGTTTTCGCGCCCTGAATGTAAACGGAGCAACACATCTCGAGGGTGACGAAATGAAATGTACGGTTTTATGTTTCGCGTGAAGGCTGACTCGGTGGATAGACATTGAGCTCGGTTCTACGGAATGCAAGTGTTTTCAGTACGTCAGGATTGTCAATTATATCACTCTGAAACGCTTGTGCTACTGTATGTGCGTTTAGGACAGGACAAGAAAAAACTCTAACCTTTAGTGCCTTCCATTCCATACTGCTGTGTATCAGATGAGCATTAACAACAAGGACTCGTGTACCCACTATATATACACCGAAAAGTTCAATTCACTACTAACACGAACCACACTCTTGCACAAGGCATTGCATATTACCTTTGTCCATATGCACCACATCCAACTCATCCTCCTCATCCTTCTCTCCCCCCCTCCCCCACCTCCTTTCCCCCACCCCCCACCGCACTCTCAAACTCATCAGTATCGCTCAACCCATGACCCCACAAACCATCACTCCCAGCCAGCCTAACCGGCACAGCCAGCACCGGCGCCGGGGACGAGTAGAGCACACCTAAACCCTCCTCCCCTATTGCTCTTTACGCAACCCGTGCACCTGATTTCACCTTCATTCCAGCAAACGATCCCCCAAGATGCAACACAGCCCACTCATCCTCCTCCTCCCCCTCCTCATCCTCCTCATCCCCCTCTCCCTCATCCTTCACCCCACTCCCAAACCCATCACCGTCACTCAACCCATGACCCCTCAAGCCGTCATTCCCTGCCAGCCTAACCGGCACAGCCAGCACCGGCGCCGAGGATGAGAAAAGAGCCCTTGAACTCGCCTCTCCTATGCCTTCTCCATTGTGTTGGGCTGCCCCATTGGTGGCAGAGGAGAGTGAGTGTTCCTGGTTACCTGCTCCTGGTTGACTGAGGTGCCCCAGATGTGGTTCCCCCCAGGGGATTCCTCGGAAGAACGGGTGGGCTTTCAACCGAGGGTAACCCCCCATGTGCCTTGAACCCAGTCGCTTCTTTGGCTCCATCTCCTGACAGTCACAACAAGAGGGAAAGGGAAGAGGGACGTTACACATCCCCCAGGGGATTCCTCGGAAGAACGAGTGAGCTTTCAACCGAGGGTAACCCCCCATGTGCCTTGAACCCAGTCGCTTCTTTGGCTCCATCTCCTGACAGTCACAACAAGGGGGAAAGGGAAGAGGGACGTTACACATCCCCCAGGGGATTCCTCGGAAGAACGGGTGGGCTTTCAACCGAGGGTAACCCCCCATGTGCCTTGAACCCAGTCGCTTCTTTGGCTCCATCTCCTGACAGTCACAACAAGGGGGAAAGGGAAGAGGGACGTTACACATCCCCCAGGGGATTCCTTGGAAGAACGAGTGAGCTTTCAACCGAGGGTAACCCCCCATGTGCCTTGAACCCAGTCGCTTTTTGGGCTCCATTTCTTGCCAGTCACGAGGGGAGGGTGGGAGGGTCAACACGGGAAGATGGAGGAGGGACAGGTGAGCGGGGCAGGATGAGAGGCTCCTCCTTCTGGGAGGGTCCTTCCTTGTTGCTCAAGGTGACCCAGTTCTGGTTCCCTCCAGTGGATACCTCGGAATGGGAGGGTCCTTGTTGCTCAATGGTGGGCTTTCCGCCGAGGGTACCTCCCCATGTGCGTCAAATTCAGAAGCTTTACCCCATGTGATGTGACCCCATGTGATGTGACCCCATGTGATGTGACCCCATGTGATGTGACCCCATGTGATGTGACCCCATGTGATGTGACCCCATGTGATGTGACCCCATGTGATGTGACCCCATGTGATGTGACCCCATGTGATGTGACCCCATGTGATGTGACCCCATGTGATGTGACCCCATGTGATGTGACCCCATGTGATGTGACCCCATGTGATGTGACCCCATGTGATGTGACCCCATGTGATGTGACCCCATGTGATGTGACCCCATGTGATGTGACCCCATGTGATGTGACCCCATGTGATGTGACCCCATGTGATGTGACCCCATGTGATGTGACCCCATGTGATGTGACCCCATGTGATGTGACCCCATGTGATGTGACCCCATGTGATGTGACCCCATGTGATGTGACCCCATGTGATGTGACCCCATGTGATGTGACCCCATGTGATGTGACCCCATGTGATGTGACCCCATGTGATGTGACCCCATGTGATGTGACCCCATGTGATGTGACCCCATGTGATGTGACCCCATGTGATGTGACCCCATGTGATGTGACCCCATGTGATGTGACCCCATGTGATGTGACCCCATGTGATGTGACCCCATGTGATGTGACCCCATGTGATGTGATGTGTGATCCGTTTCCTTGCAGCAGCAGCCAGTTGGCGACGAGGCTGCGAGCTTGTTTGCTGAAGTGGTTGGGCACGCACGGCATGGTGAGATCGTGAGAGAAAACCTTCTGGAGGCACAGATACTCGCTTGGGGACTCTTGTAAGAGGAAACTCGATTCATGTAATACATACCAGTAAGCACCTGACGCACCAGTAAGCAGTTGACGAGGCTGCGAGCCTCGTTGCCGAAGTGGTCTCGAGAGAGGATCTTCTGGAAACACAGGTAAGGAGACACTCGCTGGGTGATTCTTTAAAGGCAAACTCGATATATGTAGTACGCACCAGTAAGCAGTTGACGAGGCTGCGAGCTTCGTTGCTGAAGAAGTTGGGAACAGTTAGATCCCGAGAGAGGATCTTCTGGAAGCACAGGTACTCGCTGGCCCCTTTGAAGGGCGGCGCACCCGCCAGCATCTGATAGATGATGCAGCCTAGCGCCCAGAGGTCGGCCCTGGTTGAAAGGGAGGGGTAGAGGTAACGAGGGGTGAAGAGGGGTTTGTGCGGAAGCAGAGGTACTCGGTGGCTCCGTTCACCGGCTAGCATCTGATAGATGATGCAGCCTAGCGCCCAGAGATCGGCTCTGGACAGGGGTTGAGAGGGGTGAAGAGGGGTGAAGAGCGGTGAAGAGGGGTGAAGAGGGGTGAAGAGAGGTTCTCTTGGACGCACAGGTACTCGCTGGCTCCTTTGAAGGGCGACACTTTCGCTAGCATCTGATAGATATGCAGCCTAATGCCCAGAGGTCGGCCTTGGGGAGGAGAGATGGGTGGAGAGGGGTGGATAAGGGTGAAGAGGGTCAAAGAGGGGTTTGTTTGGAAGCACAGGTACTCTCCCTTGAAGGGCGGAGCGCCGGCCAGCATCTGATAGATGATGCCTATTAACAGATGCCATGGCATGGGTATATATGGGGTGCATGGGTGCGTGCACAGGTGCATGGGTGCATGGGTGCTTGGGTGCATGGGTGCATGGGTGCATAGGAGCATGGGTGCATGGGAGCATGGGAGCATGGGTGCATGGGAGCATGGGTGCATGGGAGCATGGGAGCATGGGTGCATGGGAGCATGGGTGCATGGGTGCATGGGAGCATGGGTGCATGGGAGCATGGGTGCATGGGAGCATGGGTGCTTGGGAGCATGGGTGCATTGGTGCATGGGTGCATGGGAGCATGGGTGCAGGGGTGCATGGGAGCATGGGAGCATGGGAGCATGGGAGCATGGGTGCATGGGTGCATGGGTGTATGGGTGCATGGGTGCATGGGTGCATGGGTGCATGGGTGCATGGATGGGTGTATATGGTTGAATAGGAGCTCATTCAAAGGACACGGGCCCATCGTCCAGCAACTCTAAAGGGACGTACTTGCTGTGCTGTGAGGTGTGGTGAGGTGAGGTGCTCTCTACACACGCACTACTAACAGCAGGGCACATGCATGCGTGCCACTCACTTGAATGACACGGGCCCATCGTCCAGCAGCTCTAAAGGGACGTACTCTGCTGTGCTGTGAGGTGAGGTGGAGTGGCACATGGCATGGCATGGCATGAGTGTACTCTGCACTAACACATGCAACTCACTCGACAGACATGGGACCATCGTCCAGCAGCTCGGAGGGACGTACTCTACTGTGCTGTGATGTGTTGAGAGATCCAGTAACACACACAGTAACACATGGGCACATGAGTGCATGCAACTCACTCAAAGGACACTAGCCCATCGTCCAGCAGCTCTGGGAGGACGTACTCTGCAGGGATGTGCTGAGTTTAGGTGCAATAACACACGCCATGGCATGGGTGCATGGTTGCATGGGCACATGGGTGCATATGGGCGTATGGGTGCTCACTCAAAAGACACAGGGCCATCGTCCAGCAGCTCTGGAGGGACGTACTCTGCTGTGCCCACAAACGACCCGCTTCGCTCATCTGTGGTGAACGGAGGAGAGGAAGACAAAGCAGAAGGAGGAGAGTGGAGAAAAGAGGCGACTTTTGAGTCGACTCAAAAGTCACCTCGGCAAGTGGCAGTGAGATAAGGAGTGCTTGCGACTCATCTCAGGAGGGATGCGCTCATCTCAGATGAACGACCCGCTGTGCTCATCTGTGGTGAAAGGAGGAGAAGAGGAAGCAGGAGGAGGACAGCTATTGGAGTGAGTAATTATCCACCACCAACACGTGGCAGCGCACGGAGCAAGTGATTGTGTGAATCAGCTCTGGAGGGACGTACTGCGCTCTGCTGTGCCCACAACCCACAATCGACGACCCACTTGGCTCAATCGACATGGAGGGAGAGAAGAGGGAAATGACAGAAAGGAGTACGAGAGAAAAGAGAGTCCCCTTTCACTGTTATGGAGGGAGAGAAGAGGGAAGAGTGAAAAGAGTCAGAAGAGAGAAACTGGAGAAAGAGCGAAAAGAGAAGAATAGTGGCAGACTAGACGAAATGAGAGGAAAGCGTGAAATTGCAGAAACGATAAGAAGCAATGCAAATAGGCATGAAAGAGAGAGAGAGGATGGGTGACGTGAAGGAAACAGGGGGTGGGAGATGGGCGAGGAGAGGAAAAGTGGAGGGCGGGAGGGTGGGCAGGGAATGGGATGGGGGAAAGAGTGTGGGGAGGAAATGAGGAGGCGAGGCGAGATGGCAAGAGGGAGGGGGATGTGACAGGCTGTTGGGCACCCACCGTTGTTGATAGCAGCAGCAGTGACATCTACTGCTGACGTGGCGCCAGCTGATTGGCCGTTGCTGAGCAGCTTGGCACAGCCAAAGTCGGAGATGCGCACGTGGCCTGATGCTGTGAGGAGAATGTTCTCTGGCTGTTTTTGTTGACATGGGTGGATGGGGAGGCAGGGGGAGTGGGTAAGGGAAGGGAGAAAGGGAGGGATGGGGCGCAGCCAAAGTGGGAGATGCGCATGTGGCCTGATTCCGTGAGAGGGATGTTCTCTGGCTGTATTGGTTGAGAGTGGGGGTGGGAGAGGAGGAACGGGTGGGAAGCTCGCACACGGGAATGGAGGAGAAGTCAGAGACTCGCACGTGGCCCGCTGCAGTGAGGAGAACGTTCTCCAGCTGTGTGGGGAGGAAGGGGGAGGGGGAAGGGGAGGGAGAGGGGAGGGATGGGTGGGAAGCTTGCATGTGGCCCAACGCAGTGAGGAGAATGTTCTCCGGCTGTGTTGATGGGTAATGGGCAGGATAAGGGGCGCAGGGAATGGGGAGAACGGGGAGGATGTGGGGAGGGAAGGGGCGCAGCCAAAGTGGGAGATGCGCACGTGGCCCGATGCTGTGAGGAGGGTGTTCTCTGGCTGTATTGATGTGTGGGTATGCAAGGGGTCAGGAAATGCACACGTGCGATTTAGGGGAAGGCGGAGATGCCCACGTGGCCCGATGCAGTGAGGAGGGTGTTCTCTAGGTGTATTGATATGTAACAGGCGTTCAGGGGGGAGGGATGGGGAGTGGGGAGAACGGGGAGGATGGGGTGAGGGAAGGGGCGCAGTCAAAGTAGGAGATGCACACGGGGTCCAATGCAGCGAGGCGGATGTTCTCCGGCTGTGTGTGTGGGGGGTGAGAGGAAAGGGGGGGATGGGTTGATGCGAGGGGGAGAGGGGAGCGAGGTGTGGGAAGGGAAGCTCGCACGTGGTGGGATGCAGTGAGGAGGACGCCCTCCGGGTGTCTGGGGAGGGAGGGGGAGAGAGAGAGGAGAATAGGGTGACTGGACTGGGGGGGGGAAGGGAAGCGAGAAAGGGAGTGGATGGAAGCAAATGAAGTTGGAGATGTGCAGGTGGCTGGATGCCTGACAATGAGAGTGAGGTGAGGAGAATGCTCTCCGGCTGTGTTGGGGGACGGAGGGGGAGTTGAGAGTTGGGGGGGGGTGGGTAAGGGCTGTGCACACGCACAGTGCACTGCAGATACATGTACGTGTGCATACAAACCCTTTAAACGTTCTCGTTATAAGCTTCTCCAGTGCTCACCTTAAGGTCTCTGTGCACCACGCCTTGCGAGTGCATGTACTCCAGCGCACACACCACCTCTGCTGCATAGAACCGAGCCTCGTCCTCCGGCAGCTTTCCTTTCTGCATGTAAAAGGAACAGAGAGGAGTACATAGGAGTGTTTATATGAGCACAATGGAGTAACGAGGAGTACAGAGGATGCATGAACTCTAGAGCACACACCACCTCGGCAGCATAGAACCGAGCTTCCTCCTCTGATAGCTTGCCCTTCTGTATATGCAAATGGAGTACAGAGGAGTACAGAGAAGTACAGAGGGGCGTTGAGAGGGGCACAATAGAGTACAAATGAGTACAGACGATGCATGTACTTCAGTAACGCCAGTGCAGTGCACACACAATCTTGCTGCATAGAACCGAGCTTTGTCCTCTAATATCGTCTGCACGTGGAGGCGAGAAGATAAGGAATGAGGAGGGTAACAAGGGAAAAAGAGGGGAAAAGAGGAATGACGGGGAGGAAAGGCATCGTATCAAGTGGGCAGGACACGAGCAACCACTGCAGCTGCATAGAACCTAGCCTTGCTCTTTGATAGCCTGCCTTTCTGCACGCGGAGAAAGCGGAAACGAGCTGAGAAGAGTAAAGAGAGAGCAGAGAGGAGCAAAGAGGAGTAGAGGAGGAAACACGCCCTGTAATACAGGGCCTGGATTCCCACAGACACGCTGTATTGAAATAAGCGACGGACAATACCAGCTTTCTCTCTGCTCAGTTCAGTTCAGCTTAAGTTGCCCTGAACTTAAGTTCAGCAAAGGGCGTTCAGATCGCTTGGTTGCCCTTTGTTCTTGGAACGCCCTTTGCAAGTAAGAAGAGCGTTCCAAGAACAAGGCTAAATGAAATGCGAAGGCAAGTATGAATGAAAGTACTCATAGAAGGACATACACAGGAGTGCAGAAGAAACTAACGCGAAACTACAGAAAGAAATGTCTATCAGACAAGCAGGGCGAGGGCAGCCAGAGAAGCTTAAACGAAGGCCATACCAGTCTGATTTGGTCAAAGAGCTCTCCCCCGTGACAGCACTCCAGTCCCATGTCTGTGCATCGATGGATAGAGGAAGGGGGGAAATGGAGGGGAGCATGGAGGTGAGTTGGGGGAGGGAAGGATGAATGGTCTAATTTGGTCAGTGAGCAGAGCTCTCCCCCGTGGCAGCACTCCATCCCATGCCTGTGGAGCCGAGGGGCAGACAAAAGAGAGGGGGGGGGGGGGGGGGGGGGTAGAGGGGGGGAATGGAGGGGGTGAACGAAGGTGAGGTAAGGGAGGGGAGGTGGCAGAAGGATGAACTATCGAATTCGGTCAAAGAGCTCTCCCCCATGGCAGCACTCCAATTCCGTGTTTGTGGAGAAAGCGGAGGGAAGGTGGGGGAGGTGTGGTATCAGGGTCTGGTCTGGTAAGAAAAGCTCTCCATTCCCCGTGACAGCACTCCACTCCAGACCCATGACCATGGCGGCTCAGAGGGACAGAGGGAGGGGAGGAGAGGAACGGAGGGGAGGCAGGGAGGGAGGGAAGATGTCAAGGGTGCGGTTTCCCATGGTTAGCCCTTCTCCCCCATAGCGACTTCTAAGCTGACTCAAAAAAATTCTCCATGGTAAAGGCATCTCCTTCGTGGAGTCACACTAGTCCCCGGTGTGTGGCGTTACGAGGGTAGAGAGTGGAGAGGAAGAGAAGGGGGCTGGGAGATGTGCGGCTTGCCCATGCTCTTCAGCGCACACTCGCGGACACCCCTCTCATCCTCGTTAATAGCAGTCTCACTGAAAGAGTTTTAGTCTCCTAAAAGCCCGGAAGCAGAGCGTACACAGGGGGGGAACTCCTGCGATGACAGATGAACCATGCAGGACGCAAACACACAGGGAGTGCTCGTCTCGAAAGGTTTCACAGGAGCAGTGTCTTAAAGCCCAGGACTGTAGGTCTCACCGAGGGAGTGTTGGTCTTGGAATGTGAAGAGCAGGCACACATTTTTGGGTGTCTCAGCAAGCTTAGAGGCGGATCGTACACAGGGAGTTACCGTCATCACGCCCATTGCCCACAGCAGGGCCTCACAGAGGGAGTGTTGGTCTTGGAATGTGAAGAGCAGGGCTCACATAGCGAATGTTGATCTTAAAGCCCAACTCACCCATCCAGTGCTCACGGAGGGAGTGCTTGTCCTGGAACGTGAAGAGCAGGCGCTCGACCCCCGGATGCCTCAGCAAGCCCAGAAGCAGACTATATATGCAGAGGTGTCTCGGCCCGTCGAGAATCAAACGCTCCATCTTGATGTATGCCTCCTTCCTCTCCCTCACTATGTGCCGCTCGCTTGTCCATTATCTTTAGTGCGCACTCAGAGAGCTAGGCGAACTGTGGACACCCCTCTCATCCTCCTTATAAGCAGCCTCACGTAGAGAACCACTCTCAGACTAAAAGCCCAAGCATCCAGGCGCCATGTCTCACAGAGGGAGTGTTCGTCCTGAAACGTGAAGAGCAGGCGCACGACCCATGGGTGCCTCAGCCGGTCGAGGATTAAACGCTCCATTTTGATGTATGCCACCTTCCTCTCCTTCACTATGTGCCGCTTGTCCATTATCTTCAATGCGCACTCGGAGCCAGGCGCACACCCCTCTCATCCTCGTTACAAGCAGCCTCACGTAGAGAATCTCCCTCAGCCTAAAAGCTCAACCCAAGCATCCAGGCACCATGTCTCACAGAGGGAATGTTCGTCTTGAAAGGTGAAGAGCAGTCGGACAATTCCAGGATGCCTCAGCCGGTCGAGAATCAAACGCTCCATCTTTATATATGCCACCTTCTTCTCCTTCACTATGTGCCGCTTGTCCATTATCTTCAACGCACACTCGCACCCAGGTGGACACCCCTCGTCCTCGTTATAAGCAGCTTTGCTTGACTTGCGGCGGGCCAGGACAACCTGGTGGGGTAACAAAGATGGGAGAAAAAAGAAAGGCGAGATTTGGAAAATAAAAAATGGAAAAGAAAAAAATGAAGGTTTAGAATCCCTTACTTGAAGGAAAACTCTATTAAACTGTTGATTTTCCAGCTGAATAACCTACTCAAGTCAACAGTTTCCCTTCTAACATTGTTTAGATCTTCCATGTAAGAGAGGCGAGATGGGGGCGGGAATCTCACTCAGAAACCTTACAAATGGATCTCGCTAAGAGATCTCAGGAAGGGGTCTCACCAATGATTCTCACTACGTCAAGAGGACAGGGTCTTACATGCAGGAAGGACTGGGCTTACAACGAGGATAAGAGGGGCTCACAACGAGAATAAGAGGGGCTTACAACGAGGATAAGAGGGGCTTACAACGAGGATGACAGGACCTTTACCTTGGAGTAGGAACCAAGACCCAGGAGTCGCCCGTATGTGAAGTCTCGAGCCGAGAGAGCCAATCGTGGTGCGCCACCTGTCGCTGCTGCTCCATTCGGTCCTCCAATTGCTTCTGCTCCCCCACACTCTGCGTGTCCTCCATTTCTTGCCCCTGCTTCACGTGTCGCTCCATTTCCCGCCAAAATCGCCGTCACCAATCCATTTCCAACTGCTCCCGAATCCTCTGCTGCTGCTGCCGCCGGCGCTGCTGCTCCCTCTCCCCCCTGTGTTCCACCGTTGGTGCCTACTGCGGCGCCATTGCTCGCTTTATGACTTCTGAGGTCATCGAAGGTGGCAATAAGTCCGGTACTGCCTCCGTTCGCTCCTACGGCGGCCATGTGAGCCTTCACACGAGCGAGTCTTGGCGAGAGAGTCTTGAACAGTCCTTGACGAGCGTTCTTTAACGAATATTGGCGAGCTTCCCGTTCAAGCATATACTGTTCGTGTCAACCCGTCGTATACTGTCGCCTTGTTCTTACGGTTAGGACACTGTCAAAGCGGCCTGTACCAATCCCGTCATGAGACCCTTTCAGAAATTATTCGCTAAGAAATTGATTGTTTGGCTAGAGCGAGGAGGGAGGACTAACGGCCCTACGACCAATGGCTCGTTTCGGCAATCCTGGTGCCATAGGTCCAATTCCGATGACGTTCACGAAGCGACGGGTAGAACTAACGGCCTAGCGTAAGTGCAAAGTGTGATTGCCAGTGGTAGGAGCGGGATTATCGGCGACGTTTTCATGACGGCCGTCATACAGAAGTCGCTAGGACTAACCGGTAACAGTTAACCCTAACGGCGCGGCTGAGGCTGAGAACGACAAGGAGAAAGGCGTTGCGATTCTAAACCGAAGAATTCCGTTCGTTCGTATTACTGTCGCCTAGGACTCGCTCGCGTCGCGACCGGCTGGACTGGAGAGACCGTTGCGGTTCGGCTCCCTGAACTGGGCTTCGCGTAGAGAGGCTGCGGTTTAGAAAGTCGCTGAAACGGCTCGCGAAATCTCGACCGTTGACTAAGTTCGAACAAGCCAATCTGACGTTGGAAAAACGTCCTGACATCGTCGTGTAATGCTATCCGTGTTGAGCTCAAATAGAGGTCCTCGATTTAAGAACTTGTAGCGTAAGCTTATCCTCAAAACACCAGAACACCTCTGGATTTGCGGATACATACTTGCAGCAAGAATCTGTACACCAGCATGAATCCCGCAGCAGCAATCAGAATTACAAAATATGTGGCCATTGGTCTGTACAGATTTTGTCAATTAACTTGGAGTGGAAATTATAGCACAGTGACACCCCCAGTTTTTCAGCCTGCCCAAACTAATCGGGAAGGCCTATACCTGTGCCTCTTCAGAAGTCACGATCATGTGACCTCACCCCCTACTCAATAAACCTGCGTCCCTCACTCGAATAAAACAGGAGGTTCATCGTAATCATAACATTACACGACGAAGGACTCCCAAGTTGCTCAGACACGGCCCGTACCCATTCGCATGACCCCATCACTTCCACCCCTGTCAGAAGTCGCGATTGAGGGACCTGGCTTTGGCCCATATCAAGTCCTTGATGGTCTCTTCAGGCAGCACCGGGTGCTCAAAGTCAAACGTGAACGGCGCATGGCACACCGGCTGGTTGCCAGGTACAGGTGCTGTAGCCTCTCCCTCTCCCTCTCCATCCCCCTCCCCCTCCCCTCCCCCCTTCCTCCCCTCCGCCTCCCCTCCTTTCCCCTCCCCCTCACGCTCCCCTCCCCCTCCCCTCCTCCCCTTCTTCCCTCTCAAAAGTCGCGATTGAGAGACCTGGCTTCGGCCCATATCAAGTCCTTGATGGTCTCTTCTGGCAGCACCGGGTGCTCAAAGTCAAATGTGAAAGGCGCATGGCACACCGGCTCGTCGCTGATGTCGTGCAGGCTTGCCAGGTAGGGGTGGTCTAGACTCTCCTCCACTGGAGATGCATGGGAGAGATTGGGAAGAATGGGGAATGAGAAGAGTGAGGGCAAGAAGTGGGGTACAAGGGGATAGAGAAAGGTGCATGGCACACCGGCTCGTCGCTGATGTCGTGCAGACTTGCCAGGTAGGGGTGGTCTAGACTCTCCTCCACTGGAGATGCATGGGAGAGATTGGGAAGAATGGGGAATGAGAAGAGTGAGGGCAAGAAGTGGGGTACAAGGGGATAGAGAAAGGTGCATGGCACACCGGCTCGTCGCTGATGTCGTGCAGACTTGCCAGGTAGGGGTGGTCTAGACTCTCCTCCACTGGAGATGCATGGGAGAGATTGGGAAGAATGGGGAATGAGAAGAGTGAGGGCAAGAACTGGGGTACAAGGGGATAGAGAAAGGTGCATGGCACACCGGCTCGTCACTGATGTCGTGCGGACTTGTCAGGTAGGGGTGGTCTAGACTCTCCTCGACTGGGGGAGGAGAGAAAGAGAATGGGAAACGAGAAAAAAGGAGAATGCGGGGGGATTGGATACGGAAACAGGGGCGCATGGCACACCGGCTCGTCACTGATGTCGTGCGGACTTGTCAGGTAGGGGTGGTCTAGACTCTCCTCGACTGGCCAGTGTGGACGTGAATGGGCAGAAGGGGAACGGGTGAAAGGGGAATGGGAGAAAGGATCAGGTTGGAGGAGGGAAGAGAAGTGCGAACGGCACAGGTTATATTTAATAATGTCGTGCACGACAGTTCATACTCAAAACTCTCATACAAGAGATATTGACACACTAACACCCCGATTCACATACCCATGCCACCCACTCTGGCTCACCTGTGATGCGCTTGGCTGGATCAAAGAGAAGCATCCGTTCCATGAGGTCTAACGCGAGGGCGCGTAATTGAGCTCCCCAAGTGGTTATGTGTGCCATGCTAGGGAGTGCAGTGCAGTAACTAGGTACGTAAACACAGACCCACCCACCCACACCCACGCACGCATTCTGATCCACCTGTGATGCGCTTGGCGGGGTCGAACAGCAGAATCCTCTCCATGAGGTCCAGAGCCAGGGGAGCCATGCGCACAAGGAGAGCGAACACACACTCATACTCATACTCCCACCCACTCCCTTTTCATATTCCGATTCCCATACAGTACAGCACATGCTGTCCCACCTGTGATGCGTTTGGCAGGGTCGAACAGAAGCATCCGCTCCATAAGGTCCAGAGCAAGGGGCGCCATGTTGGGGAGTGCAGCAATCAGACCCATGCACCCACATACACCCACCCACCCACCTGCCCACCCACCCACCTGCCCACCCACCCACCTGCCCACCCTGGCCCACCTGTGATGCGCTTGGCAGGGTCGAACAGAAGCATCCTCTCCATCAGATCCAACGCCAGGGGCGCCATGTTGGGCAGTGCAGCAGTCAGGCCCACACAACCACGCAATTACCCACCCACCTACCCACCCTCCTGCCCACCCTGTCCCACCTGTGATGCGCTTGGCAGAGACAGAAGCATCCTCTCCATGAGATCCAACGCCAGGGGCGCCATGTTGGGCAGTGCAGCAGCCAGGCCCACACAACCACGCAATTACCCACCCACCTGCCCACCCTGGCCCACCTGTGATGCGCTTGGCGGGGTCGAACAGAAGCATCCTCTCCATCAGATCCAACGCCAGGGGCGCCATGTTGGGGAAGCGCGCGGCGAGGGGCTGCTTGCGCACAAAGGGCAGCGAGCGCACGTAGCGACGGGCATTGTCACTCTCCAGGAAAGAGATGTCTGAATCATCCGGGGAACCGATGATCTGGTGGGGCATGGAGGGTGATACGGGAAAGATACGGTCAAGATTAGGTGGTGAAGGGCAGCGAGCGCACGTAGCGACGGGCATTGTCACTCTCCAGGAACGAGATCTCTGAATCATCCGGGGAACCGATGATCTGGTGCGGCAGGGAGGGATGGGGAGGGATGAGGCGAAGGGGAGCGAGCGCACGTAGCGACGGGCATTGTCGCTCTCGAGGAAAGAGATGTCTGAATCGTCTGGAGACCCGATGATCTGCATCGGCAGGGGCGAGAGCGGGTGATACCGGAAAGATACGGTAAAGATTAGGTGGTGAAGGGCAGCGAGCGCACGTAGCGGCGCACATTGTCGCTCTCGAGGAAGGAGATGTCTGAATCGTCCGGGGACCCAATGATCTGGCGGATGGGGGGGGGGGAAGAAATGGGTGTGGTGATGGGCAGCGAGCGCACGTAGCGGCGTGCATTGTCGCTCTCGAGGAAGGAGATGTCTGAATCATCTGGTGACCCAATGATCTGGACGGGGAAAGGGAAGGGGGAAGGAGGGTTGGAAAGGGATACGGGCGTTGTCACTCTCGAGGAACGAGATGTCTGAATCGTCTGGGGACCCGATGATCTGGTTTGCAGGGGGGTTGGTTGGGAGAATGATGCGAGCAAGTTTAGTAGCAGTGTGGTGAAGGGCAGCGAGCGCACGTAGCGCCGGGCGTTGTCACTCTCGAGATACAAGATGACTGAATCATCTGGAGACCCGATGATCTGGAAGGGTGAAGGGGGAAGTTGGCAAGGAGGGTGTGGGCGGAAATGGGCACAATGGTGTGGTGCGCAGCACAGCATGAAATGGCAGCGAAGGGCGTGATAGTCCTTGCCGGGGAACAGTGGCCAGCGATTCAGGAGCAAGTGTACAGACAGGCGGGGAAGATGTAGGGGGAGAAAAGGAGGAGGGAATGGAGGGGGCCCAGATCCACACACACGGTCCACTCACAGAGGTGATGAGGCGCAGCTGGTCCACATAGTCCTTGCAGGGGAAGAGAAGAGAGGGAGGGGTGGATGGAAGGACGTGATGCCTATGGATGGTTCCACACCCACACACCCACACACCCACACACACCCAGGCCACTCACGGAGGTGATGAGGCGCAGCTGGTCCACATAGTCCTTGCCGGGGAACAGCGGCTCACGATTCAGCAGCTCCATGAAGATGCACCCCACGGACCACAGGTCGATGGCTGCCGTGTACGCCTGGAGTGGAGGGGGGTGAAGAGGAGTTGAGAGCGGTACTAAGTGGAGTGGTACCAGTTACCAACGGGCGATTCAGCAGCTCCATGAAGATGCACCCCACGGACCACAGGTCGTTTTCTGCTGTGTACGCCTGCATGTAGGGGGAAAGGTATTCAATGCGGTTGAGAACGGTGCTGTGTGGTTGATAGGGGTAGTGTGTGGTTGTGGCTACGAATAATTCAGCAGCTCCATGAAAATGGCAGATGCACCGCAAGGATCACAGGTCAGGTCGATGGCTGCCGTGTACGCCTGGTGGGGGAGGAGAGAGGGAAGGAGGCATTGAATGCGGTTGAGAGCGGTTCTGAGTGAACCCAGTTATGAACAGTTGATTCAGCATCTCCATGAAGATGCACCGCACGGATCACAGGTCAGGTCGATGGCTGCCGTGTACGCCTGGTAGGGGAGGAGGTAATGCCTCGACTAGGAGATGTTCACCTCGACTAATCATGCCTAACTTGAGGTAATGAAGAGGAGGGCATGGAGTAGAAAGAGGGAAGGAGCAGAGAGCACATCGGTCAACATTCTGAGGTCTCTCAACAGTCTGGATCTCCAGCCATGCTCACACACGCTGAGACGACTTTTGAGGCGCCTCAAAAGTAGAAAGAGGGAAGCAGTAGAGAGCACATCGGTCAACATTCTGAGGTCTCTCAACAGTCTGGATCTCCAGCCATGCTCACACACGCTGAGACGATTTTTGAGGCGCCTCAAAAGTAGAAAGAGGGAAGCAGTAGAGAGCACATTCGTCAACATTCTGAGGTCTCTCAACAGTCTGGATCTCCAGCCATGCTCACACACACTGAGACGATTTTTGAGGCGCCTCAAAAGTAGAAAGAGGGAAGCAGTAGAGAGCACACTGGTCAACATTCTGAGGTCTCTCAACAGTCTGGATCTCCAGCCATGCTCACACACACTGCCGTGCTCATGGCAAGGGCTCATGTCACGCTGTTGTTCAGTAGCCCTGCAATAGCTTTCCACCCATGATCGCTCACCTTACTGTTGAGTAGCAGCTCTAGGGCACGGTACCATCTAGTCTGGTTACCACTGCCTGCCTACCAGCCATGTTAAGCAGCCGTGCCAGCCATGCTCACTCACCTTGCTGTTGAGCAGCAGCTCTGGAGCGCGGTACCATCTGGTTACCACATACTCTGTCATGTAGTCACTCTCCTCTGCCGATCTGTGGTTAGAACACAAGGGAATAAATATGGAAAGATGTTACACACCATCCGGTTACCACATACTCCGTCATGTAGTCACTCTCCTCTGCCGATCTGTAGTAACAATGGAAGGATAAGAAGAAAGATAACAGGCGTTACACCATCTGGTTACCACGTACTCCGTCATGTAGTCACTCTCCTCTGCCGATCTGTAACAGTAATGTAAGGAAATGAAGAAAAGAGTAAAAACAAAACGAATCAGCAGGTTGGGGGCAGCTCAAATCGAATGCAGATGGGTGGGTGGGATGGGAGTAAGAGCAAAGTCAGTGAAAGATCTTGAGATCGCAGATCTTGACATCGCAGATCTTGAGATCGCAGATCTTGACATCGCAGATCTTGAGATCGCAGATCTTGACATCGCAGATCTTGACATCGCAGATCTTGACATCGCAGATCTTGACATCGCAGATCTTGACATCGCAGATCTTGATATCGCAGTTGGCGTTGAGCAGCAGGTAGGACAGATTCAAGAAAGACGTGCACACCCCCAAACCCCTCCAACCCCTCCCTTCACTCGCTCATCTGACAATCTCAAAGTCGCAGATCTTGAGGTCGCAGTTGGCATTGAGCAGCAGGTTGGAGGGCTTGAATGAAGGTGGGTGGGTGAGAGTGAGAGCAGTGCCAGAGACAGTGGCGACGGACAGTGGGGGCTCCCTCACCTGGCAAGGCCGAAGTCGCAGATCTTGAGATCGCAATTGGCATTGAGCAGCAGGTTGGAGGGCTTGAGGTCGCGGTGAAGGTGGATGGGTGGGTGGCTGGGTAGAGTGAGACCAGAATCCGTGGAAGCAACACTGGATGGATGGATGGATGGATTCCCCTCACCTGGCGAGCCCAAAGTCACAGATCTTGAGATCGCAGTTGGCGTTGAGCAGCAGGTTGGAGGGCTTGAGGTCGCGGTGAAGCACCTTGGCGCTGTGCACGTACTTGAGACCGCGGAGGAGCTGGTACAGGAAGTACTGTAGTCGGGAATAGTGGTGGGGATGGGTGGAGATGGATGGAGATCGGTGGAAATGGATGGAGCAGTAGGGATAATAGAATCAAGAGAAACTTGGGGCTTGAGGTCGCGGTGAAGCACCTTGGCGCTGTGCACGTACTTGAGACCCCGGAGGAGCTGGTACAGGAAGTACTGTAGGGGGAAGGAGGGGTAAGGTTGAGGGAATAAGGAGGGATGACGGGCTTGGCTCTGTCTCTGATGAAGCACCTTGGCACTGTGCACGTACTTGAGACCCCGGAGGAGCTGGTACAGGAAGTACTGTAGGGGGAAGGAGGGGTAAGGTTGAGGGAATAAGGAGGGATGACGGGCTTGGCTCTGTCTCTGATGAAGCACCTTGGCACTGTGCACGTACTTGAGACCCCGGAGGAGCTGGTACAGGAAGTACTGTAGGGGGAAGGAGGGGTAAGGTTGAGGGAATAAGGAGGGATGACGGGCTTGGCTCTGTCTCTGATGAAGCACCTTGGCACTGTGCACGTACTTGAGACCCCGGAGGAGCTGGTACAGGAAGTACTGTAGGGGGAAGGAGGGGTAAGGTTGAGGGAATAAGGAGGGATGACGGGCTTGGCTCTGTCTCTGATGAAGCACCTTGGCACTGTGCACGTACTTGAGACCCCGGAGGAGCTGGTACAGGAAGTACTGTAGGGGGAAGGAGGGGTAAGGTTGAGGGAATAAGGAGGGATGACGGGCTTGGCTCTGTCTCTGATGAAGCACCTTGGCACTGTGCACGTACTTGAGACCCCGGAGGAGCTGGTACAGGAAGTACTGTAGGGGGAAGGAGGGGTAAGGTTGAGGGAATAAGGAGGGATGACGGGCTTGGCTCTGTCTCTGATGAAGCACCTTGGCACTGTGCACGTACTTGAGACCCCGGAGGAGCTGGTACAGGAAGTACTGTAGGGGGAAGGAGGGGTAAGGTTGAGGGAATAAGGAGGGATGACGGGCTTGGCTCTGTCTCTGATGAAGCACCTTGGCACTGTGCACGTACTTGAGACCCTGGAGGAGCTGGTACAGGAAGTACTGTAGGGGGAAGGAGGGGTAAGGTTGAGGGAATAAGGAGGGATGACGGGCTTGGCTCTGTCTCTGATGAAGCACCTTGGCACTGTGCACGTACTTGAGACCCCGGAGGAGCTGGTACAGGAAGTACTGTAGGGGGAAGGAGGGGTAAGGTTGAGGGAATAAGGAGGGATGACGGGCTTGGCTCTGTCTCTGATGAAGCACCTTGGCACTGTGCACGTACTTGAGACCCCGGAGGAGCTGGTACAGGAAGTACTGTAGGGGGAAGGAGGGGTAAGGTTGAGGGAATAAGGAGGGATGACGGGCTTGGCTCTGTCTCTGATGAAGCACCTTGGCACTGTGCACGTACTTGAGACCCCGGAGGAGCTGGTACAGGAAGTACTGTAGGGGGAAGGAGGGGTAAGGTTGAGGGAATAAGGAGGGATGACGGGCTTGGCTCTGTCTCTGATGAAGCACCTTGGCACTGTGCACGTACTTGAGACCCCGGAGGAGCTGGTACAGGAAGTACTGTAGGGGGAAGGAGGGGTAAGGTTGAGGGAATAAGGAGGGATGACGGGCTTGGCTCTGTCTCTGATGAAGCACCTTGGCACTGTGCACGTACTTGAGACCCCGGAGGAGCTGGTACAGGAAGTACTGTAGGGGGAAGGAGGGGTAAGGTTGAGGGAATAAGGAGGGATGACGGACTTGGCTCTGTCTCTGATGAAGCACCTTGGCACTGTGCACGTACTTGAGACCCCGGAGGAGCTGGTACAGGAAGTACTGTAGGGGGAAGGAGGGGTAAGGTTGAGGGAATAAGGAGGGATGACGGGCTTGGCTCTGTCTCTGATGAAGCACCTTGGCACTGTGCACGTACTTGAGACCCCGGAGGAGCTGGTACAGGAAGTACTGTAGGGGGAAGGAGGGGTAAGGTTGAGGGAATAAGGAGGGATGACGGGCTTGGCTCTGTCTCTGATGAAGCACCTTGGCACTGTGCACGTACTTGAGACCCTGGAGGAGCTGGTACAGGAAGTACTGTAGCGGGAAGGAGGGGTAAGGTTGAGGGAATAAGGAGGGATGACAGGCTTGGCTCTGTCTCTGATGAAGCACCTTGGCACTGTGCACGTACTTGAGACCCTGGAGGAGCTGGTACAGGAAGTACTGTAGGGGGAAGGAGGGGTAAGGTTGAGGGAATAAGGAGGGATGACGGGCTTGGCTCTGTCTCTGATGAAGCACCTTGGCACTGTGCACGTACTTGAGACCCCGGAGGAGCTGGTAGAGGAAGTACTGCAGGGGGTAGCGCGGGATGGGGGAAGCAGGTGGGGTAGGGATGCAACGGGAATGGAGACTGTAGTAAAGCACCTTGGCTTGGCGCTGTGCATGTACTTGAGACCGCGGAGGAGCTGGTAGAGGAAGTACTGTAGGGGGAAGGAGGGGTAAGGTTGAGGGAATAAAGAGGGATGAGGGGCTTGGCACTGTCTCTGATGAAGCACCTTGGCTTGGCGCTGTGCACGTACTTGAGAGCCCGGAGGAGCTGGTAAGGAAGTACTGTAGGGGAGATAGTGGTGAACTGAACTTGTGTTGAGATGCGTGGAGCAGTAAGGATAAGGGAACAAGCGGGGACGAGGGGCTTGAGATCACGGTGAAGTGAAGCACCTTGGCGCTGCGCTGTGCACGCATCTAAGGCCCCTCAGGAGACTTTTGGGTCGACTAAAAAGTCACCACGCTGCGCTGTGCACGTATGTAAGCCTGTAAGGCCCCTCAGGAGCTCAGCTCAGCTCAGCTCATGCTCAATCATACAGACGGATATCAAGAATGCATTTACACTGTACACCCAGGGCGGGCCAGAGTGTACTGTACACACCTGGCAGTGGTCCTCAGTGATGTGAGCTGCTGGTTGGAGCGAATGATCTGATGCAGGTTCATGGGACCATGTCCAGTCCATGAGCTCATACACGATGTACACAGACTCGTCTAACACATGTGCACTGTACGCTCCTACGCATTCCTCTCTCACCTGGCAGTGGTCCTCTGTGAGCTGCTGGTTAGATCGAATGATCTGATGCAGGTCCGTGTCCATGAGCTCATACACGATGTAGACACTTCACCATATACTCCTTGGTACGCTCTCCACCCCTTGGCCCTCTCACCTGGCAGTGATCTTCCGTCAGTTGCTGGTTAGATCGAATGATCTGATGCAGGTCCGTGTCCATGAGCTCATACACGATGTAGACATCGTTGAATGTATCTCGCGCTGGAGGGGGAATGATGTCCCTTATGGCCACCACCTGAAGGAAGGGAGGAGGGAGGGAGGGAGGGAGGGAAGGAGGAATTTGTGTCCATGAGCCCTCACACACGATATAGACATTGTTGAATGTGTCTCGCACTGGAGGGAGAATGATCTCCCTGATGGCCTGGCCTGGCCACCACTTGGTGGAATTGCACAGGGGGGGCGATGGGAGGAGGGAGGGAGGGAGGGAGGGACGGAGGGAGAGAGGGGCGAGAGATTTATCGCACGCAGGAGGAACGTGCGTCCATGAGGTGACTTTTGAGTCGACTCAAAAGTCACTGGAGGGGGAATGATGTCCTTGATGGCCTGGCCACCACCTGGTGGAATTGCACCGGGGGGGCGATGGGAGGGAGGAGGGAGGGACGGAGGGAGAGAGGGGCGAGAGGGTTATGGCACGCAGGGAGAACGCGCGTCCATGAGCTGAACTCTTCACACACACAAAAGTGTGCAGGTGGGGTGATGGCCACCACCTGGTGAGATTGGTCGGGCCGTGGGGGCGGCGATGCGATGGGAGGAGGGAGGGAGGGAGGGAGGGAGGGAGGGAGGGCGATGGGATGAGAGAGGAACGATTGTCCATGAGCCCTCATACACGATGTGCACATCGTTGAAGAAGGTGTCGCAGGTGTCGCATGCCGGGTGGACATCGTTGAAGGTGTCGTATGCCGGGAGGGCGGGGGTGTCTCTGATGGCCATCGTCTGGCGTGGAAGGGGGTTGAACCCACTTCCACATTCAACGATATGGAAGTGTCCCTTTCACATATGGACAACGGCGTATGTACATATCGTTGACTGTGTGCTCATGAGCTCGCAGGCGGGGGACGATTTCCCTTATAGCCACCACCACCTGACCTGGTGTGGATGTGAGTGCGGTGTGATTGCATGCACATGCAAAGATGTGAGGTGAGGTAATTGTATTGCATGGGCCGTCAATAGATATGTCCTCATCAATGTATGTGACACGTGCTGAAAGGGGGGTAATTTCCCTTATAAACACCACCTGGTGTGGATGGGAGTGCAGTGTAAATTCATGGATGGGGGGAGTGATAGACATCGACACTGAGGAGCATGTTTTTGTGCTCATGAAGAAGGGCAGCAGTAGGCAGAGTCGCCTTTAGCAAAAGGACGATAGTCAACTAGTGAAAAAAAAAAAAAAAAAAAAAAACCTTGGAAATTTTGATTAAGCTCCGAACGTACATCTCAGTTCAAAACTAGAGTTAGGCAAACATGTTTCGGCTTCGCACGGGGATCATACCCGCTACGCCTTCATCAGTGCGAGAGTTCAGCAGGCAGGCACGTAGGCAGGCAGGCAAGCAGAGGGACTCACGTTCTCGTGGTCCATGTGTCGCAGCAGCTTGATCTCCCTCAGCGTTCTCTTGGCGTCGATCCGGTTGTCAAAGGCGTTCGCAATCTTCTTGATCGCCACCTCCTCCTGAGTCTCCGAGTTGATGGCCGAACTGCGATCGCAAGGGGGGGTATGGTCCATAGAGAGGAGAGACCTTTTGAGACGCTTTTTGAGGCGACTTTTGAGGCACCTCAGAAGCTGATCCGATTGTCAAAGGCATTCGCAATCTTCTTAATTGCCACCTCCTCCTGAGTCTCCGAGTTGATCGTCAAGCTGCACAGGAGGAGTGGAGGGTGACAATCAACGGAATACCAAGTGGGCTAAAAAAGAAGCCACAAAAAGAGCATGAAATAGGCGACTAGGGAATATGATAAAGCTGTGCCAGAAAATGAGTACCAAACGAGAAACGGAATGGGATGAAGCTGGTGCATGAACGGGAGTGAGCACTGGAGGGTGGGAAAGAGAGTCGAATCACGCCAAGCAGTGGACGACCGGAGCGCAGAACGAAGCACAACACACAATCCCAAAAAAAAATGTTTTGTTTTGTTTTGTTTTGTCCTATAAGGCAAAGAGTACTTACCACACAATTCCGTAGGCTCCACGACCGATTGGCCGAATAGGCGGCACATACTTCGCAGTAACCTCAAACATATTCCCATAAATGTTATACTGCGTATACGCCCCGTCATACGTCGGAACTCCCACGATTTCCGGCTCTAACGGCTCGCCGGACCCGTCGTCTTCGTATCCGTCCTCCCCAGGATCGCCATCCCCGTCACGGAGGTCTTCGCTATACTCTACAGCCCCGCCGTCGTCGTCCCGCTTTCCGTCCATGTGATGGTGATACTCTTCCGTCATCCCCGTCATGTACTGACGTGCGACTGCTATAAGAAGGGTTACTTCTACTGATTTCGCGCTAAGGTAGGAACTAAGAGAATAACTATCAGGCAAACGGAAAGATTTAAACTGATAAGTAACGGCTGGAACAGAGTTTCGTTTACTCTAAGATACCACAAGACGTATTGTTAATCAGGTACGCACGGTAACACGGTGGGACGGTAGCGCGACACGGTTATTGTGAGAGCTATAAACTGGAAAGACAGGTGAGATGAAAATAGTAGAAACTACGGCTGCAGAATACTGAACCTACGACATTCTGCACTTGATATCGCGCACCCTTGCGACTAAGGGGGGAGACAGGAAATGCGTCACCAGCTGAATTGAATCAATCAGGTCGCGCACTCGCAGAGAACGTCGCACGACGCGATCGCACTAGTCGCACGACCTAATCACATGACCAGATCGCACTGTGGAAACTTCAGCCTGGTCGACGGACCAGAAACCCTGATCCAAGCACGAAGAAGGACGCAAGCGAAACAATGGGCTGGGACATGCAATTGCGATCTATACCGTTTTAGGAGAAACTAGAGACGCAGTGCGACTACAGCTGCAGGAGAAACAGAGTAAGGGTGTGTATCACGTCTTACTGTTAGCAAAAATCAGGTCAACCAACAGTCAATTGAATGGTACTGTACGGTGGAGAACAGGAAACGCGGTTACTGAACGTTCTGATGCGGTTCCTTTACTCCTTGATGCTGCATCTGGGTATCAACCAACTCGATACAGGCCTGGTCGCTGAACCGGTTGGGGGGCGGTGCGTACCAAGAGAATGCCATGTTTGTTCAGATGTCAATATACTAGGTGTGGTACGGTTCGTAAATAATTAAATTCATTATCATACGTTCGTGCTCGGTGCTTTGAGCTCACAACTGACTAGGGCATCTGAATGGGGTCGTCATCAGCCTAGCAACAGCAGCCTGACGGAACAGAACCTGAGGGCCCATATCAACCGTCTGCTTGTCTGACTGAAATCAAACTGATGATGATGACTGACGCCAGCCGAACCTGACTCCCTCGAGGTTGTTTGGCTGAAAACCGCATGGGAAGCCTGGCGCTTCGGTCACTAGATTCACGAACAAGGCAATAGATGGTACACCTATTGGAATGAGGGCGGGGCGGGAACGAAAAGGGGGCGGAGGCGTGCGCCCCGGCACGGGAAGGGGGAAGTGGTGGTGGGCGAAAATTGCAGCGGGAATATCTTGACCATAAGGATGAATCTTATTGAATTGCAGATATTTACCGGTATCATTAGCACTGGAAATACATTATTCCTGTATTGACTATAGCAAACAGTATCAGGAGTCAAAATGCCAATAGGGCAAAATGTCTCCACTATACCGTCATTAGATGTGAGGCAAGGCACACAATGTAATATGCACGCATTAAGAGGGGGCTGAAGTAAAGAGTGGGGCTCTACTAGAGCTCGAGGGTGAAGTGGCTGGGGAAGTGGGAGGGGAAGGCATGGCCGTCATATGAAAGGGTAGTGGAGGAACCAGCATGAGCGATTTGGTGTTTGGCGCCACGTTCACCATGTGCCCCCTCCCTCCCCACATGCCTCTCCGCACATTATTTATCCGTAGCGTACGTGCCTCCTGTTTTTGAGCCAAACGTGAGTTGGAACACGCAAGAGAAAGAAAGGAACGCGAGAAACACAAAGAGCATGACAGATTGGAAAAGGACGGCGTAATCAACCAATGAGAACGGATTTTGGCCTTGCCTCCTATTCTGTCACGCAACGTACTGCCTGCATGTACTCGTTACAAGCAGCCCCAGAATCATGCCTCGGCCGTACCTGGCAGAGCGCGCAGCAGGAGCAACAGGCGTGATAGATGCAATCCGTTGCCTCATCGCCCTGCATGGTTGTGTTGGGAAAATTGAGAGCGAGACTTTGAAAATTCTGAAACCTGATAGGCGCAATCCGATACTTCATCACCCTGCATGCCCTGCATGGTCAGGTGAATAGAGAGAGAAAGTGAGGGAGAGGGACAGTGAAAGCGAGAGAGGTCACGGAGGAGGGGGAGGGGATATAGGGTCAAGAATGTTTATGCAGAGATTACAGTGTTTAACCGATATGCTCTTTCCATGGTTGAAACAAGAGGACAAGAGGTGGATAGCCCGCATCACGCCACATGATCCTGCATCCTGCTTTTTCCATGCCTGGACACGAGGTGAGCCCTTTACTGCAGCCAGCATGTGAGATGCAAGCACATCACACCGCGCCTTGCCTGCTCGCCTGCTTGCCTGCTTGCCTGCTCGCCTGCTTGCCTGCTCGCCTGCTTGCCAGCTTGCCTGCTTGCCTGCTCGCCTGCTTGCCAGCTTGCCTGCTCGCCTGCTCGCCTGCTTGCCTGCTTGCCAGCCCAATGACCTGAATACCAAAGCGTTGACACGTTCAAGTGCAGATGCGCTAAAACCGACCTGAATACTAAGACATGGGTGAAAGGAAGGGGCACGGAAGGCTATAACTGATGGCATTGGTGAGAGGAAGGAGGAGGGATGAAGCAAGGGAGGAGCATGGAAAGGGTAGGTTGACCCACACCCACCAACCTGGATGTTGAAGCGTTGGCATGTCTGTGTGCGAAAGCGCGCTAAATAAGAGGTTCCAAGGCTGTAAAGGAGGAGTTTTGAGTCGACTAGAAATACTCGACTCACCTGGATGTTGAAGCGTCAGCGTGTTTGCGTGTGGAAGCACGCGGAGTAAGAAGTGCCGAGGCAGTAGAGAAGGACGCCGAGGGATGAGAGGAAGTCGAGAGTGGAGCAGAGGGCTATGAGCTGCGCGCAGGAGCATGCTCCCCAGCCCCAGGTGCCGTATGAGTCAAAGAAAAAGCACCCCCAGCGATGAAAAGAGCCCCGAAGTGGAGCTAAGGCTTATGAGGTGCGAGTAGGCTTATAAGCTGCAAGCAGGCTTATAAGCTGCGAGCACGAACATCCACCCCAAGTGCCAAAATTGATTTTTTTTTAAGGCAAGACTCACCTGAATGTTAAAGCGCCGGTTTGCGTACGGAAGCGCGCGGGGTAAGAGGTGCCGAGGCAGTAGAGAAGCCCGCCGAGGGATGAGAGGAAGTCGAGAGTGGAGCAGAGGGCTATGAGCTGCGCACAGGAGCTTGTCCCCTTTCCAACCCAAGTGCATTTGAGTCGACTCAGAACGACCCCCACTGATGAGAAGCAGTCGAGAGTTGAATCAAAAGCCACCCTGCCTGAACCCACCTGGATGTTGAAGCGTCGGCGTGTCTGCGTACGGAAGCGCGCGGGGTAAGAGGTGCCAAGGCAGTAGAGAAGGACGCCGAGGGATGAGAAGAAGTCGAGAGTGGAGCAGAGGGCTATGAGCTGCGCGCAGGAGCATGCTCCCCAGGTGAGAGCGCAGTAGATGAGGGCCTGGGGACGAGAGGAAGATCAGGAAGAGGAGAGGAAAAGAGAGGGAGCAATCCGAGGGATGAGGAGATTCAAAGAGCAGAGGGCTATGAGCTGCGTGCAGGAGCATGCTCCCCAGGTGAGCGCACAGTAAATGAGGGCCTGGGGGTCAAGGGGAGCAGGGAATGCCAGGGGAAGATGAAACAAGCTTGATGCGATGCGGAACTTGCGTGGAGAAGAGGGCTTTGAACTGCGCGTATGAACGTCCCCCCCAGGTGAGCGTCCTTTAAATGATGGTCTGGGGGATGAGTTGGGGTTCAGGGATAAGAGAGGCGCAGGGCAAGTGGGGGGAAGGGAGGAAAGCAACTTGAGGGGTATGAGCTGCAAGAAGGAGCATGCTCCCCAGGTGAGAGCACAGTAGATGGGGGCCTGGGGGAGGAGAGCAGGATAGAAGACACGGAACCAGGGGAAAAGAGAGGAGAGACACTCAAAGGATGGGAGAAGGATATAAAAGCGTGCAGAGGGCTATGAACTGCACGCATGAACATGCTCCCCAAGTGAGAGCACAGTAAATGAGGGCCTGGGGGATGAGAGGTTGGGAAGAGGAAAGGAGACGAGACGAGAGGAAAGGGACGGTGAGGAGATGCCTATGAGCTGCGAGCAGGCGCATGGTCCCCATGTGAGAGCACAGTAGATGAGAGCCTGGGGGACAAGAGGAGCAGAGAACGCACGGGAATGAGAGGAAGGGGACTTGAAGAGTGGAGCAGAGGGTTATGAGCTGCGAGCAGGAGTGCGCTTCCAGGTGAGAGCAAAGTAAATGAGAGCCTGGGGGATGAGAGGAGAGGAGCATGGAGCAGGAAAGGGAGGGGAAAAGAGAGGAAAGCAACTCGAGGAATGAAGTGAAGATTTCAATTGGAGCAGATGCCTATGAGCTGCGGAAAGGGGGGGGGGTCAGGGGAAGGAGAGGACAAAAGAGGGAGCAATTCGAGGGACGAGATAGAGATTCAAAAGGGAGCAGAGGGTTATGAGCTGCGAGCAGGAGCATGCTCCCCATGTGAGAGCACAGTAGATGAGAGCCTGGGGGATGAGAGGAGAGGAGCATGGAGCAGGAAAAGAGAGGATTACGGGGAATCATTCTACTAACCACATACAGGAGCACATAGTAGCAGGGAGCAGGAGATGAAAACATGAGCATGCAGAAAAGGGCGAGGATTACAAGGGAGTATTATGGTGACTTTTGAGTCGACTCAGAAGTCAATAGAAAAGGCGAGGATTACAAGGGAGTATTGTACAGAGTGCACCTTGACAAGAGTGTTTTTGGCAAACTGAGGGGCATCAGACGGTGATTTAGAGGACGTGGCACATTCTGCTATCCACGCATGGCTCACCATACCTGTAAGAATGCTGTGCCAAACCTGTAAGAGCGCTTTGCCAAACCTGTGGCATACCTGGGGGGCACAGCTGCCGAGCCTGTAAGAAAGCTTTGGCATACCTGGGGGGCACAGCTGCCGAGCCTGTAAGAAAGCTTTGGCATACCTGGGGGGCACAGCTGCCGAGCCTGTAAGAAAGCTTTGGCATACCTGGGGGGCACAGCTGCCAAACCCAGCCATGGCCATGTTCTGCCCGAATGTGATGCATGGACAGCTGTGAGGGAGGGGTGGGATGGCATGGGATGGGATGGGACGGGATTGGAGGGTGATGGAATAACCGGAAAGAAAATAAGGGCGAGACTGGTGGATAGGGGCTCTCCAGATTGACCCAGCCATGCTCGCTCTGCCCGAATGTAATGCACGGACAGCTGTGATCTAGGCGTGGGATGGGAGGGGAAACACAGGGGGTTGATTCAAAGAGAGGAAGAGAAATAAGGGGACACATGGCCAAGCCCCTGTGTTCCCTACTGATCAGTAAGGGCTAATTGTTGCAGTGTATGTTTTTTGACAATTCTCAAAAAAAACATACAGTGTTCCGTACTGATCAGTAAGGGCTCCCCAGGTTGACTCCATCCAGCCATAGCCATGTTCTGCCCGAATGTGATGCACGGACAGGACAGGTGTGAGGGAGGGACGGGATGGGGCAGTGATATACAGAGAGCAAGCGACTCTGGGTGAGACTGAATCCATCCAGCCATGCCCATATTCAGCCAGAAAGTTGGTGTCCATGAATCAAGGATCCCCATGGCTGACTGCACTCCGAATGTGATGCAGGGGATGGGAGACACGAAGTTGTGGGAGAATTTGAGGAGCAACGGAGAGAAAGAGAAAAGAGAAGGCAAGAGGGAGTGGCAGGGGTGAGAATTCGTGAGTGCTTCAAAGATTGACTGCCAGCCATTGCAATGTTCTGCTGGAATGAGATGCAGGGGCAGCTATGAGGGAGGCGTGGGATGAGAAACATGGGGCAGTAATAAGCAGGGTTATAAAAAACGACCGTTATTTTACGAAAACCGTAATTTTGAACCTTGGTAACAAGGAAATATGATTCGAGCCATTGCCATGTTATGCTGGAATGAGATGCATGGGTAGCTGCCTGCAAGAGGGAGGGGTAGGATGGCACGGGAGAGCGAGATGAGAGATGGGAGAGAGAGATGGATGGTATGCCTGAGGGCCTTCAGAGGTTGACTTGACTCCAGCCATGACCGTGTTCTGGCCGAATGTGTTGCAGCCTTTGAGGTGCCTCAACAGGTGTGAGGGAGGCGTGGGATAGGAGGCACGAGGTGGTGAGAGAACGGGAGAAGAGAAGGAGCAAAGGAGAGAAGAGGAAGAAGGCAATAACGACAGAAGGGGTGGCATGGGTGAGAATTCGTGAGGTGCTTCACGTTGAGTCCAGCCAGCTAGGGATCCCAGAGCGAGGAGTACCTACACATGTAGAGAGGGTGTTTTTGAGACGTCTCAAAGAGCCAGCTAGGGATCCCAGAGCGAGGAGTACCTACACGTGTAGAGAGGGTGTTTTTGAGACGTCTCAAAGAGCCAGCTAGGGATCCCAGAGCGAGGAGTATCTACACCCCCTCGCATCGCACTCACCAGGCGGTCTGAGCTGAGTGGCAATGGACGAGTCGTCAGAGCAGGCACACAGCTCCCCTTCCCACATGCGCTCCACACACCAGGCCAGTGCCTCATCCCCCCTGTGAGAGAGAGCATTCACCGCACCAGCTACCTCAAAACATTCCCTCTGCACTTACCAGGTGGTCTGAGTGGCACTGGCGACAGAAGTGTCATTAAAGCAGTCACAGAGCTCCCCTCCTTTCCCACATGCGCTCCACGCCTCTCAGGCCATGCGCCTCTATCTCCCGTGCGAGAAAGCACTCACCACACCAGGTACCATCATCCATTTTCTTTCAACACTCACCAGACGATCTGTGTTGCAACGGAAGAGTCATCAAAGCAGTCGCACAGCTCCCCTTCCCACATGCGCTCCACGCACCCTCCTCCCAACCCCTTACAGAGAGCACACAGAGAGCATACAGAGAGCACACAGAGTGAACCCACCAGACAGTCTGTGTTGCAACGGACGAGTCATCAAAGCAGTCGCACAGCTCCCCTTCCCACATGCGCTCCACGCCCCCTCCTCCCCCTCTCTCAAACCCAACCTCTCCACCAATCCCCGCTCCTAATTCTCCATCAAAATCCACTGCACAGATCCCAAACCCGTAATCCAGGCCGTCCAATGCTGCCCCCTCCCCAACGCCCGGCCGTGTCCCCTCCTCAAGCCCCCCTGTACTCGTTATAAGGCTCCCTGCGGCAGTCCCACTCCCTTGCTCCCCCCCTACGCCCCTCACAACCACTGCTTCGTCCATTAATGGTCCTGCGCCCACCACCGTCCGCTCAACCGCTCCGAACCGCTCCCTATCGCCCTCCACCGCTCTCAGTCTACCGCCTGCTGGCATGCCGCTGCCCCTGTCTCGCGAAGAGGGGAAGTCTTGTAACTCTCTCGCGTGCTCTTCGCTCTCCCAGCTATCCCTGCTCGCATCGCTGTGGCGAACCCACTCTGAAAACGTGACTCGGCGGCCACTGCTGCTGCCACTACTGCTGCCGCCGCCGCTGCTGCTGTTGCTGCTGCCGGTGCTTCTGGCGCTGCCTACTGCTGCTTCTGCTGCGGCTGACGCCGCATCTTCTGCTGCTGAAGCGTCCAGAGGAAGGGAGTGCGAGCGAGCTGGGCTGGGGGTGGACTGAGAGAGAGAGGAGGGGTCCTCCTCGGGTATTGGTTGCAGGAGGTGCGTGTGAGAGTGAGGGTGCGAGTGCGGGTTGTAGTGTGAGTGAGTGTTAGAGTGCGAGGGAGGGTTAGAATGTGACGGAGGGTTAGCGTGTGAGAGAGGGTTAGGGTGTGAGGGAGGGAGGAGGGATGAAGGAGGAGAGGGTTGACTGGGGGAGAAGGCTAATAGGTTGGATCTGCCGAGAACCTGGGCATGGCCTGGGAGCCTCGGGATTGGTTGTTGGCGATTCTGCGGATTCTCTGCTGACGTGGATGAGGAGGAGGAGGAGGAGGAGGAGGAGGAGGAGGAGGAGGAGGAGGAGGAGGAGGAGGAGGAGGAGGAGGAGGAGGAGGAGGAGGAGGAGGAAGGAGAGGGGGACGAAGAGGACTCTTCCATGTGGTTTCTGCTAGAGTCAGATCGGCTTCTGCAGAAAAACAATCAATATCCGCGAAATTTTGCGAAATTGGCTGACAGCCGCGAATCTTCGCAAAAGGTCGCCGCAGCTCACCCGCTGCGATAGAAGCTTCAACTAATTAGTAGTGAGTGCTTTTCGTGCTCAAGTAATGAGCTGTAACACCCTTGTGGCATAATGGGTGTTACTCGGCGAGTTCGCGAATTGAAGCGAGGAGTTACGCACGTGAAGCGACGAACGGCTTGCAGCAGCGCGAGGCGACTTCAGCTGAACCGGCTGTGACGAATTGAACGGAGCGAAACGAATGCCCGGACGGCGTCGGAGGGCACTCACGAGACGGGAATGCGAAACTAGCGTCCGTCCGAGCTCACAGGAAGAAGCTAAAACAAAGTTGGTCTGAATCAGCGAAGCTTCTGGGTGTTGGATGCACTGGGTGGTTCAAATCGGGGACTCAGGGACTGGACTAGTACTCCGTATGCTAGGCTAGGCTCCCTAATCCCGAGAGACTGGTGTCAGGGCGCAGCGGGTTATGAAAACCGCATCCCGAGATGCGAAACTCAGAGTGGTTACCAACATCGCATCGGGATTTTACTGTTCGCGTAACAGGCCAACCCAACTGGTATAAGTTGTCAAGAGTGCAATTAAACTAGCTAAGAGAGATTGCACTAAAGGGGGGAACGAATGACAATGTGAGCGAAGGCATGAACGGACATTGAATGTGTTACGATATGAAATTACATGAGAAGGCATTCCTGTAGGCTGCAGGAGCCGACTCTACCGAGTACGAAGTCGAGGAGTCAGAACAGTCAAAGCGACGCATCCACCGTCTGACCAACACCGATGCAGGCAGAAACATTTGAAGTGAAAACAGCGGGAACAGGTTTGAAACGGGTTCCCGCGCTGCACGGTTTGAATTTCGCTGCAATAAGGGAATGTACCCCTTAGAGTACATGGCTAGTCTATGTCTTTTCGTATTCCCCTGTATTCTTATATAAACCCGATGTATGCATGCTCTTATCAACTCAGTCATTTACATTCACTCTGACCTAAGATTCAAACTTCCGCTGCAACACTACTCTGCGATCAACCCTGAGCGATCCTTCGCTAAGTCCCACTTGGGATTGTAACATGGTATGAGAGCTACTCAAGGATTCTTCGCATCTTCACTTCCGTGAAATTCGTCGAACCAAGATCTGGCGAGCGGCACACGCTCCAAGACCAAGATGGCCGGAGGATCCGGAGGCCAAGCAAATCTGACGGCTGAAGGACAAACCAACCCGGCTGCGACAAATGAGGCGACAACTACGTTCGGCACTGCCGCACTCGAGCAGTTATTCGCTCGACTCTCAACTATGGAGAAAGAACTCCAAGATTTGCGCAAAGGCGATGCGGGAACCTCTTCCCAACCAGCTCAACCTGGACAACCGGCCACGAAAAGCCGTGATACCGCCGCGCACACCTTCTCTCTCGACACAGACAAATCAACAACAACTGCCCCCCGTCCAAGTGATGAAGTCATCAACTCTGCGTAAGCACGTTTTCTCAGTGTTTCAAAAATCAAGACTAATGCCGCATTTGACGGCAAAGACTTCTACACATGGAGTTTTGAGCTTGAGCTCCTCCTACAGACAGCGCAGATCTACCATTACTTCGACGGCTCCTATTCTAAACCGGTGGACGACACCGACGACGCCAGGGCTCAGCATTACAGCGAGTCCCTCATGGCGTACAGTGTGCTGCTGCGAAATATGATGCCTGCGGAACAACTCAGCATTCGCTCCTACAAAGAGAGCGCCGCTCCAGCCTTAGAAGCCTGGAAGCACTTCGTTGAGGTTTATCAGCCAAAGGACTCGGTCACCGCCAGCAGGCTCCTGCAGCAGCTTATGGAGACAAAGATGGGGCACGGGGAGAAAGAGAATTCTTACATTAACCGCTGTCGCAATATCCGTGACCAGATCACGAAGCATGGGAGCGCAATCTCGGAAGAGATCTTCGTCAACATAGTCCTTCAAGGACTCGGGCCAGAGTGGAAGCCCTGTAAAGCGCTACTCTGACAGCGAGGGATTATCTCAGAAGCCGCGCTATGCGCCGCACTCCTGACTGAACAGCAGGATATGGACTCGAGCAGAACAAGCTCCGCGCCGCGCCGAGAGCGCCTCGCCTTCTACGCAGACAACCGTGAAGAGCGACGACAACCAAGACGCCACTATTGCAAAATATGCAAAGTCTTCGGACATTCAACGGATCGATGCAAATCCTGATCCAACTATCGTCACCCAAATTCCACTCACCACAACAACTGGGTCGGCCGACAAGATGCTCGTCATTCTTAGCCTCAGCATCAGACATCTCGTTCCCCTGCACAACATCAACATCAACTTCAGCAAACTCAAGGACCTCAATCAGGAGCTCCTAGAAACATCATCGCCAACATGGCGACGCGCCAACGTCGCACTGCTGAACCTGATGAAGAGAATGAGATCAAAGGAAGACTCCTTGAACCACAAAAAGGGTTGGAATAATCCCCTCACTGAAGATCACTACTACCTGTACGACGAGGACGAGCAGGATTGGAATCAGCCAATCACATTGCGGGAAAACCCGCCACACGATAACCAACAATACGTACCGGTGGGATGGAAGGAAGACGAAGACCCCTTCTTTCACATGCGCTACAAGGCAACCCTGGTGACTCCGCGACTGGCGCTACTTCTACGCAGAAACACCACCGACAACCACAACACGTGGTACCTGGATAGCTGTTGCGGACAGCACATGGTGGGATCCACGCGATATGTATCAAACCTGAGCCGCGCCCCCGCCACCTATGTCACCGTCGCCAACAATCATCAACTGCGCGCCAACATGCAAGGCATTGTCGTCCTGCAAGCACGAGACAGCAAAGCACACATCTCTTTTAACGACGTGCTTTACGTCCCGGATCTCCGCTTTAATCTCCTCTCGGCAGGACAACTTCGCAACTGCGGTGTTATTCTCACCACGGATCTGGCCACACGCGACCTCATCCTCACCTACGCTCCCCCGGACACCCCTCCCGAATCATTCAAATATCTCGGACAAGCCCGCTCAATCAACGGGATCTATGTCCTAGACTTCAACGTACCTTCCTGCCAAGCATCATCCGGCGAACTCGTGGACCTCGTCCCTCTCGAGTTTGCCTACATGAGCAAGGAAGCATGGAAGCACCCAGACGGACGACCGTGGGTTCGCCGCAGCCCTCATCCTCGCGAGATCAACCTGCACAAGCCAGACATTAGTGGTCTCTGCACCACCTGTCACACACCTACGGCGAGCCGCACAGAGCAAGTCGAAAATGAGTACGCGGCAATCCAGGAGGCGGAGAGTGCCGAGGCAGAACCAACAGGCATGACTGAACAAGAACTCGCTGTGTCATCTTACCGCATCTTCGGCGAACCGAAAGATGACTTCGAACATCAGCGAGCGGAGCGAACAACACCATACTCCGAAAACCTCTGATTCGTCCTAGAAGCTAACACCACCACCCTCGACGAAGAAGGACGACCGCGCCCGTACACTCGCGAAGTCTACCGCCGCGAGATTGACCTGGCTTGGAAGGACCCTGACGCAAAAGGGGAGCTGAGCGTCAAGGAAGAACAAGACAAGGCCCGGGCAGAAAAGAAACAAAAGCTGTATGAACAACGCGTTGCGGCAGGATGGGACGAAGAGTCAGCACGCCGAGGCGCATGGGGAGATGAAGACTATAAGCCGGAAGAAGGCGCTACCTGGGCATCCGCCACTGGAGCATGGAGAGCCAGCACCAGCGGCACACGGTCACCACGGGAGGATGGGGAACAAAGGGGAGCTCACGCAAGAAGAACTGGAGGAAGCTGAACGAGAGATGAAAGCTGAGTGCGGAGAAGAATCACCCCGCGTTGTCATTCCCCTCGGACGACCCCCACGCACTCGTGAACCCCCTCGCTCACCTCATCGCTGGAGTGATCCTTGGTCGGAGATTGAGGAGGGGAATATACCACCAACTCCTCCGCGGGACTCACTTGGTCCAATCTCCCGCCCAGATCCGTTCGCTCGCTTCATTGAAGGCACCACGACCCCGCTCACCATCATTCCCGACCGTGAATTCCTCGCCCTCTACCTCACAACGGCACCTGCAGAAGACAACGGCAGAAGCAGAAGCAGAGGAGCCGGACAACGAAGCGGAACCAGGAGAAGAGGAAGAACCCCCACTCCAGATCCCGCAACTTACGGAAGCAGAATTAGCAGAACACTACACTCGCTACAA